CAAAGGGCAAACAGCATGATGAGAAACGTCATTTTGCTCAGTTTGGTCGAAAACAGTTATTGTCCCCTTCTTCCAGCCTTACCGATAGTCTCAACATCATACCAGTCAGGTAGATCTGCATGAAGTCTGACACCTCCTAAGTTCCACCATTGCCTCCTTAGCCGACCTCTTTAGGGAAGCCTTTAAAGAAAAAGTAATACACTTCACGCAGTACGTGAATCCTAATTTGGTTATTATCTAAATGCGAAGTTAATTTTTTACGAAGTACTTAAAGTTTCACGCGCATGATTCTCTGATACGAAAAGTTTTGCTGCATGCAAGCCTTGAGACGTCGGTGCTTAGTAAATCACTTGTTAGAGCTTCCAGGTGGTGGTCTGTAACGCAGTTTTAAAGCGTACGGTAGCAGCACCTCGTTTATGAAGGTTTGTTTCTTTACCGAACGACGTTGCAACTAGTGAGTTTATTTGTCAAATATAGCATGTACAAATAAACGCGTGTTCGTCGGTTCATTTGCATTTATTTACGACTGAATTTTGTAGCGATTTCAGATTCTACCGTGGCCAGTTGTTCCTGATTGCTCCTCGGTCATCTCTGCAGGTACGACATTCGTCACGGGATGACAGTGCTCGAATGGCGCTATGGCAACTTTACGATGGCAACAAGTTTGCTAATACAACGAAGTTCCTCGCAACATGTGCTGTATAGCTGAGGTGCCGGTCCGTCGCTGCAATCATCGAAGCACGTGGTCGGCGGACGCCGACCAGGACGTTGCGAGGGCACGGACGGGACGCTCATCTCCTTGCAAAACGGCCCCTCCGTGGCTTTTCGATGACGTCACACAGCAGACCGAACATCTGCGACACGGTGTCGAATTTTGCGCACTAAATACGTTGTGCCGGCATTTGGCCCCTTGGTCTGTGGAAGAGACGGGCCACATCGGCATTAAGCTCAGGTATTCGGTGGCAGGCGCAACCGAGCAGCGTTACTGGGTCAGTGCGTTCAAATAGAGACGTGGCGATTTTAGGCACGAGTATGTGAGAGGCGTCCACATCCCTGCTGCGGATGTAATTTGGCACGAGTGCCGTCAGCCGCAGTGGCTCTAATTCGCACGGGACATGGAATAATTTTTGGTCCAGCCGTCTGTCGTTCACGCATTAGCGGCATCGCCGTAGGTCACTCACCGCTAAATATCACCGCAACTGTAAAACTGACCGTACGACGGAAAGACTAGCCAACGAGCCGGCTCTGAAGCTATTATCCACCCTCTCTCCCACGCAACCACAGGTAATAGCAAGTGTTGCACGATGCCACCGCTTTCATTACACATTTGCAAAGTTACGGAAAAATATAGTTTTAATTTTGCCGAACAAGCTCCAACGACCGTCTTACAACTGTGAGTAGCTTAATGGATAATCCGCCGACCATATTAAGCAAATAGCGTGCCACATTAAGTTTGCAATATATTCACCGCTATGTAAATGTTGATAACCTGTTTAAATATTTGTCCATGTAATAACAAGCATAGACTTGACCCATTACTTCGAAACCGAACACGACCCATAGCGCTATAGGTTGGTACGGGCGCTCTTAGAAGTGAGGCCGCGACCGCCCCCTTCGCCATATCCGTATTCGTTAACGGCTGTGAATATCGCCAAATCACGCTATCAGTAGTCATCAATGTTAATTACGACTGGTTTTTGTAGGTTCATCACTTTCTCATAATCGTAACTTTCACACGATGGGGCCAGCATTCGTCCTCAAATACGTCCTTCTGAAGGCGGGTGTCTTTGCGTCGCGCGAGGGTCACTCCCACGCGGCTGCTCCAGCAATAACAGACTGGCAAAACCGGAACCGGTCAGTTGCCACCGGAAGCGCTAGGTTTCACCACCGGAGGTGATCGTTTACATCGCCAGATATGATCGAATCTGTCCTCGATTGTCACTGCCACCTGGACCGCGTGTCGCGCTTGCGCGATAACAGTACGATTATCTGATGAACATTGGCGATAAAGAGAGGAAGTTATGGGAGATAGGAAAATAGGTGAGAAGAGTTAGGTAAGGTGACAACCGGTTTATAACTCGGAGGAAAACAACATAGACGCTGGATGTGAAGCGAAGACTCGAGTGAAGTGACGGCGACCATGGCATTCATTCCAGTGCGCGGCTCGTTCGACGATGGCTAGAAGACGTTGTGGCGACGATTGCGACCTTAATATGCGCGCTGAATGTGGCTGGCTTCGAACGAGACGGGGGCAGGACCGGACTGGATGGAGCGGAATAAGTCATGACAGGGCAAGTCCTCGCCGTTTAGCGGCGCAGAAAGTGTGAGAATGTCTTCGGTCGGCCAGCAGTCGCCTGTATGTCGTTCGGTCGGTCAACGACAACCTTTACGCCCATTATGGTACCTCTTTACAAACGCCAGTTGGGTCGGGAACGGGGCCAAGCCGGTGTCGGTAATCGACATCGACGCGTTGGCGGAGGCTACGAGAAATTCGACCCGGCTGCATGCATTAATTGTTTTCGGCCGGCAAAATGCACGATGCATGGAAAACTTACCTCACTCATTCACAATAGCTAATCGCCTACCCGTCAACAGTGTCACCGGTTTACCATGACATGTCCATTCTAAGTACCATCGTCGCCGGGAGACGTACCGCGTCGCGTCGCGCCGCGCAGCTCATAATAGGCCTCGTCGTCGTTCCGTGTGACGCGCGCACGCTGTTCTCGTCAAGCGACCACGCGGATTAACGTTCATGTCCAGTCGAGTGGTCGAAACTAGTTCACCGGCCATTCGAGCAGCCGTCACGCGGGACTCTTATTGTCCGGCAAGACTTGAGGAAGAAAAATGCCGAGCAAACACACACGACAAGGTCACGACGACGCGAATCCCCCTCTTTTCCGTCCTGTCCCGTAGCCGAAACCAAGCCGCAAACCTAACGCGCCTCAACATGCGACAGCTGATTTTTTCGCGAACTTAAACAAAATCCTCTGTCATACTACACGTCAAATGCGTAAGGAATAGACTATGTTGCAGCACCATCAATGACTTCTCAGCTCAGTCAAGAAAGTTGCTATGGACGCCTCGTTCCCGTACTTGCAGCAATCAACGCCGAATGGTATCGAACGCAAGATATATTGCATTATTCAATATTTCACTATTTGACCAAAGTCTCGCAAAACCATAATCGCTGATTTAATTTCAGCATGTAGACGTCATGACGAAAAAATCCTCTTCTGACAGAAACTAGATGAACTGATGTCAACTTTCACGCCAGTACCTTCTTAGTGTAGCAAGATTCTCGAGTAGTGTTCCCAGTGTGTCGCATTCTTTTCCTTTGTTTCAGCCACCAGTACCACCTGAGAGTGCTGTTATTCCAGGAGAGTGGCCGCATCTTCTCATGACGCAGGCAAAATACCGTAGCATTCATTCCCGCATCCATCACCTTAAGTGTGTGTTGTTCGATCATCACTTAGAGCCGTTTGAATAAGCGGAACGTCTCTCGTTTGTGACATCAGTTGTGCTGACAATCCTACAATACCTTTGTTATAAGGCGTCGGTTACTGCATCGTAGAAAAAATATTCTTCTCTGAAAGCAGATCTCTCTCTACCTAGTTTCGCCAGGTTGACGTTTTCCGTGGTCCGGTTCACACTCAACAGGTTTGCGAGCTGGAGTAATTGGCTTCTGTTCAACTGGGTTGGCTAACACGGCAAACCTCCTTTTCTTCATCTCCACGTTTATGGACAACTGAAGTCATCTATGTTCGGAACCGAATAGAGTCATTCTTTACAGGTCCAGCCGTTCAACCCTCGTTAGGCGTCGAAGCCAACGTTGCTGCAAGCAGTCTAAACGTTTTTTCCCACGTATTAACAGTTTTCATGCCGTTCAACAACTCGTACCTGGCAGAGGCAAGATACAGGCACGGTTTGTGTAATTTGCTACCTCTGTTTTAATCCATATGTCTGACAGGCTACCAAAGCAATGGATGAGAGGGCGATCCTCCTGTTTAATTCTAATTGGATGATACCATCGCTAAAGATGATTATGATATTTTCTCTTTCCAAGCGCTACTTTCTGACTCCAAATATAATCTTCCTACTGTCTTGGTTGGCTATCAGGCAGCCTAGTCCGCCCATGAGGATACAAGTCGACAATTAACGCTGACCATCGCCCGCCGGTAAGCCGAGTTGCATACCCGGCCTAACTTAGCTTCTCCCCCCTGCTTTCGACGACAGCGTTCTTCACTCCCGTCCGCTGTCTGATCACCGTGTTGGGAACGTGGTCGCAACGGGTAATTCCCAACATTCTTCCTTCCATAGCTCTCTCGGTGACGGATAACTGACACTCTTTGGCCTTGGTGAGTGACCACGTCTTTCAGCCATACAACATTGCTGGCAGGATGGTAGAATTGTAGAGATGGCGCAGGTTTTCTGTGTGATGTTGCCTATGAGCACGTCATTGATAGAATGGAACAAGCTCGAACGGCTCTCTTTCTTCGTCGAGTTTCTCCAACCTAATCATGCCGCATGCCGATTTCATGGTTCAGGTAAATGTAATTATCGACTTCGATATTTTCAACGTTTAATATGACCTAAGCTTTCGGCAGAGCATCCAATCATGGCACTTTTTTCTTCGACCAATTTCTAGACTTTTTATCTCGAGCTCTTGCAGCACGTTTTGTCGCTGACGCGTTTTCTGCAAACAGCACCAAGT